CACACGTCTACCACTAACCTCCTAGCTTAGTGGGACTCACACGTCTACCACTAACCTCCTAGCTTAGTGGGACTCACACGTCTACCACTAACCTCCTAGCTTAGTGGGACTCACACGTCTACCGCTAGCCTCCTAGCTTGGCGGGACTCACACGTCTACCACTAACCTCCTAGCTTAGTGGGACTCACACGTCTACCACTAACCTCCTAGCTTAGTGGGACTCACACGTCTACCGCTAGCCTCCTAGGTTGGTGGGACTCACACGTCTACCACTAACCTCCTAGCTTAGTGGGACTCACACGTCTACCGCTAACCTCCTAGCTTGGTGGGACTCACACGTCTACCGCTAACCTCCTAGCTTAGTGGGACTCACACGTCTACCGCTAACCTCCTAGCTTAGTGGGACTCACACGTCTACCACTAGCCTCCTATCTTGGTGGGACTCACACGTCTACCGCTAACCTCCTATCTTAGTGGGACTCACACGTCTACCACTAACCTCCTATCTTAGTGGGACTTGCACGTCTACCACTAACCTCCTAGCGTGGTGGGACTCACACGTCTACCACTAACCTCCTAGCTTGGCGAGACTCACACGTCTACCGCTAGCCTCCTAGCTGGGTGGGACTCACACGTCTACCGCTAGCCTCCTAGCTTGGCGGGACTCACACGTCTACCGCTAGCCTCCTAGCTGGGTGGGACTCACACGTCTACCACAAGCCTTCTATCTTGGTGGGACTCACACGTCTACCGCTATCCTCCTATCTTGGTGGGACTCACACGTCTACCACTAACCTCCTATCTTGGTGGGACTCACACGTCTACCACTATCCTCCTAGCTTAATGGGACTCACACGTCTACCACTAGCCTCCTAGCTTGGCGGGACTCACACGTCTACCGCTAATCTCCTATCTTGGTGGGACTCACAGGTCTACCGCTAATCTCCTAGCTTGGTGTGACTCACACGTCTACCACTATCCTCCTAGCTTGGCGGGACTCACACGTCTACCGCTAATCTCCTAGCTTGGCGGGACTTACACGTCTACCGCTAACCTCCTAGCTTAGTGGGACTTACACGTCTACCGCTAACCTCCTAGCTTGGCGGGACTCACACGTCTACCGCTAACCTCCTAGCCTGGTGGGACTCACACGTCTACCACTAACCTAGCTTGGTGGGACTCACACGTCTACCGCTAACCTCCTATCTTGGTGGGACTCACACGTCTACCGCTAACCTCCTATCTTGGTGGGACTCACACGTCTACCACTAATCTAGCTTGTTGGGACTCACACGTCTACCACTAACCTCCTAGCTTGGCGGGACTTACACGTCTACCGCTAACCTCCTATCTTGGTGGGACTCACACGTCTACCACTAACCTCCTAGCTTGGCGGGACTCACACGTCTACCACTAATCTAGCTTGGTGGGACTCACACGTCTACCGCTAACCTCCTAGCTTGGTGGGACTCACACGTCTACCGCTAGCCTCCTAGGTTGGTGGGACTCACACGTCTACCACTAACCTCCTAGCTTAGTGGGACTCACACGTCTACCGCTAACCTCCTAGCTTGGTGGGACTCACACGTCTACCGCTAACCTCCTAGCTTAGTGGGACTCACACGTCTACCACTAGCCTCCTATCTTGGTGGGACTCACACGTCTACCGCTAACCTCCTATCTTAGTGGGACTCACACGTCTACCACTAACCTCCTATCTTAGTGGGACTTGCACGTCTACCACTAACCTCCTAGCGTGGTGGGACTCACACGTCTACCACTACCCTCCTAGCTTGGCGAGACTCACACGTCTACCGCTAGCCTCCTAGCTGGGTGGGACTCACACGTCTACCGCTAGCCTCCTAGCTTGGCGGGACTCACACGTCTACCGCTAGCCTCCTAGCTGGGTGGGACTCACACGTCTACCACTAGCCTTCTATCTTGGTGGGACTCACACGTCTACCGCTATCCTCCTATCTTGGTGGGACTCACACGTCTACCACTAACCTCCTATCTTGGTGGGACTCACACGTCTACCACTATCCTCCTAGCTTAATGGGACTCACACGTCTACCACTAGCCTCCTAGCTTGGCGGGACTCACACGTCTACCGCTAATCTCCTATCTTGGTGGGACTCACAGGTCTACCGCTAATCTCCTAGCTTGGTGTGACTCACACGTCTACCACTATCCTCCTAGCTTGGCGGGACTCACACGTCTACCGCTAATCTCCTAGCTTGGCGGGACTTACACGTCTACCGCTAACCTCCTAGCTTAGTGGGACTTACACGTCTACCGCTAACCTCCTAGCTTGGCGGGACTCACACGTCTACCGCTAACCTCCTAGCCTGGTGGGACTCACACGTCTACCACTAACCTAGCTTGGTGGGACTCACACGTCTACCGCTAACCTCCTATCTTGGTGGGACTCACACGTCTACCGCTAACCTCCTATCTTGGTGGGACTCACACGTCTACCACTAATCTAGCTTGTTGGGACTCACACGTCTACCACTAACCTCCTAGCTTGGCGGGACTCACACGTCTACCGCTAACCTCCTATCTTGGTGGGACTCACACGTCTACCACTAACCTCCTAGCTTGGCGGGACTCACACGTCTACCACTAATCTAGCTTGGTGGGACTCACACGTCTACCGCTAACCTCCTATCTTGGTGGGACTCACACGTCTACCGCTAACCTCCTATCTTGGTGGGACTCACACGTCTACCACTAACCTCCTAGCTTGGCGGGACTCACACGTCTACCACTAATCTAGCTTGGTGGGACTCACACGTCTACCGCTAACCTCCTAGCTTAGTGGGACTCACACGTCTACCACTAACCTCCTAGCTTAGTGGGACTTGCACGTCTACCGCTATCCTCCTAGCTTGGCGGGACTCACACGTCTACCACTAACCTCCTAGCTTAGTGGGACTCACACGTCTACCACTAACCTCCTAGCTTAGTGGGACTCACACGTCTACCGCTAACCTCCTAGCTTAGTGGGACTCACACGTCTACCGCTAGCCTCCTAGCTTGGCGGGACTCACACGTCTACCACTAACCTCCTAGCTTAGTGGGACTCACACGTCTACCACTAACCTCCTAGCTTAGTGGGACTCACACGTCTACCGCTAACCTCCTAGCTTGGTGGGACTCACACGTCTACCGCTAGCCTCCTAGGTTGGTGGGACTCACACGTCTACCACTAACCTCCTAGCTTAGTGGGACTCACACGTCTACCGCTAACCTCCTAGCTTGGTGGGACTCACACGTCTACCGCTAACCTCCTAGCTTAGTGGGACTCACACGTCTACCACTAGCCTCCTATCTTGGTGGGACTCACACGTCTACCGCTAACCTCCTATCTTAGTGGGACTCACACGTCTACCACTAACCTCCTATCTTAGTGGGACTTGCACGTCTACCACTAACCTCCTAGCGTGGTGGGACTCACACGTCTACCACTAACCTCCTAGCTTGGCGAGACTCACACGTCTACCGCTAGCCTCCTAGCTGGGTGGGACTCACACGTCTACCGCTAGCCTCCTAGCTTGGCGGGACTCACACGTCTACCGCTAGCCTCCTAGCTGGGTGGGACTCACACGTCTACCACTAGCCTTCTATCTTGGTGGGACTCACACGTCTACCGCTATCCTCCTATCTTGGTGGGACTCACACGTCTACCACTAACCTCCTATCTTGGTGGGACTCACACGTCTACCACTATCCTCCTAGCTTAATGGGACTCACACGTCTACCACTAGCCTCCTAGCTTGGCGGGACTCACACGTCTACCGCTAATCTCCTATCTTGGTGGGACTCACAGGTCTACCGCTAATCTCCTAGCTTGGTGTGACTCACACGTCTACCACTATCCTCCTAGCTTGGCGGGACTCACACGTCTACCGCTAATCTCCTAGCTTGGCGGGACTTACACGTCTACCGCTAACCTCCTAGCTTAGTGGGACTTACACGTCTACCGCTAACCTCCTAGCTTGGCGGGACTCACACGTCTACCGCTAACCTCCTAGCCTGGTGGGACTCACACGTCTACCACTAACCTCCTAGCGTGGTGAGACTCACACGTCTACCGCTAGCCTCCTATCTTGGTGGGACTCACACGTCTACCACTAGCCTCCTAGCTTGGTGGGACTCACACGTCTACCGCTAGCCTCCTAGCTTGATGGGACTCACACGTCTACCACTAGCCTCCTATCTTGGTGGGACTCACACGTCTACCGCTACCCTATCCCAGAGTCCTCCGGCTAGGACCTAGGGGAGGCTATGTGACCCACCGCCGGCCCGGTGGGTCCTGACCACTGGGTATGCCGAGCCTTAGCCCTCAAAAGGGCTGGAAGGCTGGGTCCAGGGTCCTAGCTAGGCTTCAGCCCAGTCTTCCGTCTTCGTGTAGGGAGAGAACTCCCCCAGCTCTGCTGGGTCACCCTTCTTATACTCGTTCGTGGCCAGGTAGAACCAATCACACATTCCCACGTGGGACAGTCTGATTGGTTCTTACCAAACCGTGGCCACGATCCACTTCACCTCGACTGACCCCAACCGTTGTGTACCCAGAGGTAACGCTGCATTGCCCTGGTGGCAATGCAGGTTACCCAACAGTGCGCAGTTAACGCCTCTACACAACCACCAACACAGCCACCATCAACACAACCATCAACACAAACGCCAACAACAACAACCGCCATTCGCCGCAATGTGGCGCTTGTATGTGCGTGTGCATGTGCATGTGCGTGTAGGTGTGTATGTGTGCGCGCGTGTGCGTGTAGTTGTGTATGTGTGGGCGCGTGTGCGTGTAGGTGTATGTGTGCGCGCGTGTGTGGGTGGTGGTGTGTATGTGTGCGCGCGTGTGCGTGTAGGTGTATGTGTGCGCGCGAGTGTGGTTGGAGGTGTGTATGTGCGCATGTGCGCGCGCGTGTGTGTGTGCGTGGAGGTGTGTATGTGTGTGCACGTGCGTGTGCGTGTGCGTGCGTCGCTACCGGCGAAGTCTTCGCCCTCCACGTTGATGCCGTTGCGCGTCGCCTCCAGCTGCACGGCGACGCGCGCACGCAGCCGCTGCTGAGTCGCCAGCAGCCAGCGCGTCGACTCGGGGATCGCGCTGGGACACGCCACGGAGGAGCACACGGGGGGAGGAGACACGGGGGGAGACACGGGGGGAGACACGGGGGGAGAGACAAGGGGCGAGACACGGGGGGAGAGACACGGGGGAGAGACATGGGGGGAGAGACACGGGGGGAGAGACACGGGGGAGAGACATGGGGGGAGAGACACGGGGGGAGAGACACGGGGGGAGACACGGGGGGAGACACGGGGGGAGAGACACGGGGCGAGACACGGGGGGAGAGACATGGGGGGAGAGACACGGGGCGAGACACACGGGGGGAGACACGGGGGGAGAGACACGGGGGGAGACACGGGGGGAGACAAGGGGGGAGACAAGGGGCGAGACACGGGGGGAGAGACACGGGGGAGAGACACGGGGGGAGACACGGGGGGAGACACGGGGAGAGACACGGGGTGAGAGACACGGGGGGAGACACACGGGGGGAGAGACATGGGGGGAGACACGGGGGGAGACACGGGGTGAGAGACACGGGGGGAGTCACACGGGGGGAGAGACACGGGGGGAGACACGGGGAGAGACACGGGTGAGAGACACGGGGGGAGAGACATGGGGGGAGAGACACACGGGGGGGGCGGGAAACGGAGAGGCAATTGCAATGACGTCATACAAGGCAGCCCGCACACAGACGCCACCGTCTTCCTGGTCTCAGGCTCCGGGTCGACCTTCACGCCTCAACGGATGGACCCTCAGCCAGCCACTCACCGGGGGTGGCCACCTCCTCCGATACCTGAGGCACGGCAGCCCCCGGGGGGGGGGGGGGGGGGTCGTCCCCCACCGTGATGTTATCTGAGCGGAGGGATTTCCCCTTTCCCCTTTCCCCCCCTCCCCCCCCAAAGACCTCCACGGAAATGTTCAGCAAATCTGCAAGCCTGTTCCTGGGGGGGGGGGGGAGGTGTGGGTGTCGCATATCGGCTACCGATGCGGGCTCCGTCTCTCCTCGGCGACCCGCGAACGGCAACACATCCCTTGAAACGCGCCTCGCGGCTCTCCGAACCTCCGAGCGAATGCCGCGGTAAAGCCTCCCAGTTCCCTCGCTCGCCTCCCAACTCCGTCACTCGCCCCACCACCCTCCTCGCTCAACCCCGGCTCGCCCCACGCTCGCCTCCCCTCGCCCCCCCCCCCGCGCTCACCGCCAGCAGGCGACGACGAGCAGGAAAGGGCCGGCGAGCGCCCCCTGCAGCAGCCGCCAGTGTCGGCACAGCAGCACGACGCCCGGCAGCAGCAGCTGGCCAGCCACCAGCAGCAGGTCGCCCGCCATGGCCACGCGGAGACGGTGAGTGGTGTCGCTCACCTCCACACCTGCGGCGTCACCGTCGGCACCGTCACGACCGTCGCCACCGTCGCTAGCACCCCACCGTCGCTAACACCCCACCGTCGCTAAACACCACCATCACCACCGTCACTACCACCACCGTCGCTAAACACCACCATCACTACCAACACCGTCACCACCGTCGCTAGCACCCCACCGTCGCTAACACCCACAATCACTAACACCACCGTCACTAACACCACCGTCACTACCACCACCGTCACTAACACCACCGTCACTAACACCCACCGTCACTACCACCCACCGTCACTACCACCACCATCACTACCACCACCGTCACTAACACCACCATCACTACCACCACCGTCACTAACACCCACCTTCACTAACACCCACCGTCACTACCGTCACTAACACCCACCGTCACTAACACCACCGTCACTACCACTACCATCACTACCACCACCGTCACTAACACCACCATCACTAACACCCACCGTCACTAACACCACCGTCACTACCACCACCATCACTACCACCACTGTCACTAACACCACCATCACTACCACCACCGTCACTAACACCACCTTCACTAACACCCACCGTCACTACCGTCACTAACACCCACCGTCACTACCACCACCATCACTAACACCACCGTCACTAACACCACCATCACTAACACCCATCGTCACTAACACCATCGTCACTAACACCACCGTCACTAACACCCACCCGTCACTAACACCCACCGTCGCTAACACCCACCGTCACTACCACCACCATCACTACCACCACCATCACTACCACCACCGTCACTAACACCACCGTCACTAACACCCATCGTCACTAACACCACCGTCACTAACACCCACCGTCACTAACACCCACCGTCACTAACACCACCGTTACTAACACCACCATCACTACCACCACAATCACTACCACCACAATCACTACCACCACCATCACTAACACCCACCGTCACTAGCACCACCGTCACTAACACCACCGTCACTAACACCACCATCACTACCACCCACCATCACCACCACCACCATCACCACCACCGTCACTACCACCACCATCACTACCACCACCATCACCACCATCACCACCATCACCACCATTACAATCACCATCACTACCAGCACTAGGTCCGGCAGTAGCAGCAGATCCTCCACCAAGATGGTTGTGGTGATGGTCGCGCTGGTCGTGGTGGTAGTGATGGTTTTGGTAGGAGTTGTGGTGACCGTGGTGGTGGCGGTGGTTGTGGTAGCGGTAGTGGTGGCGGTGGTGCTTATGGTGGTTGTGCAATGGTGGTGGTGGTTGTGGGGTTGTTACGTTGGTTGCAGTGGCAATGGTTGAAGTGGCGGTTGCGGTGGTTGTAGCGGTTGCGGTGGTTGTAGCGGTTGCGGTGGTTGCAGCGGCTGCGGCGGTTGCAGCGGTGGTGTTAGTGGTGGCGTCAGTTGTGCTCGTGGTTGTGTGGTGGTAGACGTGGTGATGGCGCTGGTTGTGGCAGCTGCCGTTAATGCGGATGTGGTTGCGGCGGTCGCGGCGGTTCCGGTGGTGGCGGCGATTGCGATGGCAATCGGCGGTTGCGGCGGGTTGCAGGGGGGTTGCGGGGGGTTGCTCACGGAGGACGTAGAGAGCGAGGAAGACACCGGAGAGGGCGGCCCCCTCCAGGAAGCGCAGGGCAGAGAACATGGCCGGGTTTACCGCCAGGGCGGCCGCGCCGCCCGCCACCGCCACCAGGGCCGCGCTGGCCAGCAGCACCGGGCGGCGTCCCCACCTACACACACGCAGATACACACAACTACTTACACCTACACCTACACACACACATGCAGATACACACAACTACTTACACCTACACACACACAGACACACACAACTACTTACACCTACACCCACGCAGACACACACAACTACTTACACCTACACACACACAGATACACACAACTACTTACACCTACACCTACACACACATGCAGATACACACAACTACTTACACCTACACACACACACGCAGACGCACAACTTACACCTACACCTACACACACACGCAGATACAGATACACACAACTACTTACACCTACACACGCGCACGCAGACACACAACTACTTACACCTACACACACACAGACGCACAACTACTTACACCTACACACACATGCAGATACACACAACTACTTACACCTACAAACACGTACGCAGACACACAACTACTTACACCTACACCTACACACACACATGCAGATACACACAACTACTTACACCTACACACACACATGCAGATACACACAACTACTTACACCTACACACACGTACGCAGATGCACAACTACTTACACCTACACACACACATGCAGATACACACAACTACTTACACCTACACACACACACGGAGATATACAACTACTTACACCTACACACACACACACGCAAATACACAACTACTTACACCTACACACACACACGCAGATACACAACTACTTACACCTACACACACACACACATGCAGACACACAACTATCTACACCGACACGCACACACGCACACGCACAACTACTTACACCTACACACACACATGCAGACACACAACTACTTACACCTACACGCACGCATACAGACACACAACTACTTACACCTACACACACACACATGCAGATACACATGCAGATACGCGCACAGACACACACGCACGCACACACACATACAACAACAACCGCCATTCGCCACTAAGTGGCGGTGATGCTTGTGCCAGGCCATGTGCACCTTGAGGCCACGTGAAGCGTCGAACGCCCGCTGGCAGGAGGTCACGGGGCAGACCCAGCAGGTGCCACGGGTCGACTGACTGAGATGACTGAGATGACTGGCTGATGCTCCACCTGTGCCCCCTACTGTGCCAACTTGCTGTGCTTTAGCCACCCGGTGCTCCGCTCGTTGTTGTGAGCGTCGCTCCTCCACCCTCCATTGTTATTGGAGGGCGACTGCCTCCAACTGCCCAGTAGCAGCGTCCTTCATGGGCCTCCTCCACAGAGGCCGATCTTGACACCACTGGTACCGGTCATCGGCAAGTCTACTCAGCTCCACGTCCTCCTGTACTACATCACTCCATCTCTACTCTAGCCCGTGCCGCGCCCGTTTAGCCCCCTCAATCCGGCCGAACAAAAGCTGTTTTGGCATGCGGTGGCTGGGCACGCGGGCTACATGACCCAGCCAACGCAGCCTTGCCTGCCGGAGGAGCTCATCGATGGGACCTTGCCCAGATCTTTCAAGGATTTGTGAGCTCCTCACACAATCCAGCTTGGTTAAACCCAGGATGGATCGTAGGCAGGCTAGCCTAAATGTTTCTAACCAGCGAAGATGCTCCATTAGGGGGGTCCAGGTTTTGCAAGCGTAGAGGAGGGAGGGAATGACCGTGGCCGATAAGACCTGAAGCTTAGTGCGGAGCGACAGACCAGGTAGCTTCCACATAGCGTTACGCAACCGATGAAAAGATGTTGCCGCTCGACTGATTCGGAGTGAGACCTCTGCTGTTAAAATGGAGCCGGTCATAAGCACACTGCCCAGGTATGGGAAACTTTCCACTCTCTCCACAACTGCCCCATCACCGATTGGGAGTTGGGGGGTGGAGTGTGCGATGGTACAAAATACCCAGGCAGGTGCTTAGTTTTGGCGGGGCTGATGGTAAGGCCCCATCTCTTAGTGGCACGCTCCAGTCTCAGCAGCAACGTCTCCAACTCCTCCTCTGAATGAGCAGTTCTTACCAAATCATCGGCATACATAACGTGGTTGAGCAATAGGGAGCCATCCCTTGACCGCACCCGTGCATCGATCAGCCTCCCATTATATCTGTACCAAATGGAGATTCCCCCGGTACAGCTATTGAAGGCTTCACGAACTACGTGGTCAAAATAGATGTTAAATAATGTGGGAGCCAGAGGACATCCCTGTCGCACCCCAAGGTGTACAGGGAATGGCTCTGACTCCAGGCCACGTAGTTTTATCCGGGCCCGCTCACCATCATGAAGGTCCTTAATGATCGTGAGCAAAGGGTCAGGTACTCCAAAAGCACGAAGAACAACCCAGAGCCCAGGCCTGCTGATGGTATCATAGGCCTTGACCAGGTCAATAAAGCAGAGATGTAGGTCTTGTTGGAATTCCCTACACCTCTGCTGTAGCAGACGGACAGAAAATATGGCATCTGTGCAGGACCGCCCTTTCCTGAAACCGCATTGGGGCTCCGCAAGCCTCTCCTCAGCGTGCCTGGCAAGGCGATGTTGAATAATCCTTGCCAGGACCTTTCCCGGCACACTGAGGAGTGAGATGCCCCTGTAGTTGTTACAGTCTGTGCGGTCCCCCTTCTTAAAGAGGGGGACCACCAGGGCATCCTTCCAATCCTGCGGAACCCGTCCAGTGGCCCAGACTGTTGTTATGATAGCATATAGGGCAATCTGTGCACAAACGCCACCCTCCCTCAGCATTTCGCTTGGGAGATCATCTCTGCCCGCTGCCTTTCCTGGTCTCAGACTCTGGATCGCCTTCAGTACTTCCTCAACAGATGGTACTTCAGCCAGCCACTCACAGGAGGTGACTTCTTCCAATATTTGAGGCACCGCAGCCTCAACAGGGTCATTCTCACTTTGTGCCACAATGTTTTCCTGGCTGAGGGATTTTCCCTCCCCGAGGACCTCACAGAAATGCTCAGCAAATCTGCAAACCTGTTCCTGGGGGTCGGAAATTAGATCACCGTTTTTTCCCCTGATGGTAATAGGTGTGGTGCTGCAGGTTACTTTTTTGATGGAGTTAAATAGAGATTTGTGATCGCGGGTCACTAAGGCAGACTCCATCTCCTCAGCAACCCGCGACCACCACCCATCCTTGCAGCACCTCACGGCTCTCCGAACCTCCAAGTGAAGGCTGCAGTAAGCCTCCTAATTCTCTGACGTGGGATTCTGTAGCCGATGACAGTGGGCCTGTCGCTTTTTCTCAACCATCCTAAACACCTCCTCTGTCAGCCAGGGTCTCTGGGGATGTCTGGACCGCGAACCCAAAGCAGCCATTGCAGCTGCATGAGTCACAGTCCTAAACCTCGCCCATTTACCCTCGACATCAGGAGGCGTGGGGGATGATGCCAATCCCAGCCGCAAGCGAT